TACTACTCACTTCCAGTGAATCATTAAGTCCTATTGATGTTACCTCCTTCTCTCAAATCTATTCATTTCTGACCTTCCCCATTGAGACAACGCTAGTGTAAGCTACAATCATCTCTCACTTGCACTATTGCAATAGTCCCCTAATTGGTATGTTTACATCCACTCTTGCCCTCTTCCAATCTGTTCTTTACTCGCATCTGAAGTGATTTTTTTTTAAGGTTAATCTTATCGTGTTTTTCCTCCAATGTAAAATCTTTCAGTGGTATCTCTTTACTCTTAGAATAAAGACCTAAATCCTTAACTGGGCTGTAAGACCGTCCTTGTATGACATGGTCTCTGACTTTCTTTTTAGCCCTGCCTCTTGCCTCTTTCCTCACACTCTCTACTCCAAAAGCACAGGATTTCTTTCAGTTCTTCAAATATACTATGCTTCTTTCTAACTCAGGATGTTTACATATGCCATCCCCTCTGCCTATATCACTCTTCTTCCTCTTTACCTTATCCCTTTAGAGTTCACTTCAAATAGCACTTTATTGTGAATTAACTAATCTAATCTGGCTTTTGCCCACATGATGAAAGATTTTTTTTGTGTGTGTTTTTTTTTCTTTATTGTTTTTAGACACATAAGATCGTTATAAGTTATATCTTAATTTGGGGAATCAAGTATTTAATTTTGAAATCTTTGGAATTAATCATCAGTATTTAATGGGGAAGTTATGATAAATATTCTTTAGCATCTTATAAAATTCCAAGTAAGCCTAATTATTTATCTGTTCCAATATCATTGATTAACCAGTAACTTAGATTTTTCCCAAGTCATTACACTTATATTAGGATTCTCATTTCATAAATAAAATATATGTTGAATAAACAAAAAGAAACTAAGAATTAGTACAATAATTAAATGGACACACCATATATGGATTTTTATAGGAACAATCATCACAGGAATAATATGGATATGCTCCAGGAATGGCAAGAAGTCCAGATTAGCTTTGTGAAACTAAGACTACTAGAGCTTAAAAACAAACACAAACACACAAACAAACAAAAACTGAGCTTATTAACTTTCCAGACAAGGGAATATACACCAGTGAGGACTTCACTGAATAGTTCACCGAAGAGGAACATTCAGGGGTTTTTAAGTATCAGGAAGGGAGCTTCATACCGGTTAGATTTATAATAACTGATAACTATCACACTGCACAGGACAAAGTAAGTCCATAGGTTTGTACATGATTGATTAAAACAAGCCCCATTGTTTAACAGTCAAAGGTCTTCATTTAGGCCCAGTAATGGTCTGGTATACTGGAATCACTCAAAATTCATGGTCAGTTACCCACTTAAGCTAGTTAGAACCAGTTTCGATGAAATACAACATTCAGTTTTGATTTAAATTAAGGCAAATTCTGCTTGAGTGGAAGATTTTCCCTGTACAATTTGCATAAATGGATGGAATTTGGATTGTCACAACTAGGGTTAACAATCAGTTAGATTTATACTATGCTTTTTTTTTTAAGATATCAAAATGCTTGTTAAGATGGGGAACTTTCATTAGTTAGCTTTTGCTGCATAACAAAATACCTCAAAACTTAGTGGCTTAAAGCAATAATAATTTATTTGCTCGTGATTTTGTGGGCTGGTAACTTTGGGCTGGGTTTATGGCTCATCTCTGCTCTCCATGGTATCAGTTGGACTTGCTCATGCATTGTTATAAGGTGTCAATTTCAATTGATAGCCTTAATCACTTGTCTATCAATCACTTGTTTGCAAAAGCAATGGAAGTAAGTGGATCATCACCCAGAAGGCTAGCCAAGCTCATTTCTAAGGTGGTGGTGGAAGGGCTTCTAAGCTCAGTAAAAGAGGGCAAGCCCCAATGTTCAAGCACTTTCTTTTCTTTTTTCTTCCCAGTTTCATTGTGGTATAATTAATAGCACTTTTCAGCTTTCTTTTGCATCATGTTTGCTAACGGTCCATTGGCTAAAGCAAATCACATGGCCACGTCAGACACAAGGGTACAGAAATAGACTCCAACCTCTTGATGGGAGGAGCTGCAAAGTTACACTGCATACAAACAGACATGCGTACAGAAATGGGAAGCATTTGTGACCATTTTGCATTTTATCCCACTAGTCTTTCCTCCTTTCCAGTCTCCTTAAATGTGGATGTATACTTATATTTACACTGTTTACAGGTTATGCCTATTCTACACTGACCAAAATTAAGAGCTTTGGATGCTCTGGAGTTCTGTTGATTGATGTGGATATCCTTATAAGATAATGCAGACCACAGAAGAGAAATTTTATTCATTCTTTGAATGAGTTACTTAATCAATTTAAAATCCTTTTAGATTATATCAGGAGTCTCATGTATAGTGGCCCTGCAGCACAAAACTAGGTTTTGTTTCTAAATGTGGGCATTAATAAGTGAGAGGAAAGGATGTCTGAGCTGGGACCTAAAAGGTGTAGAGGATCTAATCAAGCAAAGAGAGTGAGAGAGGGGGAGCGGAGAGGAAAGTATTTCAGGCAGATAGAAATATGACAGAAATCCAATTTTACTAACCCCTTTTTTTGTAGCAGTACCGTATTTCCCCATGTATCAGACACACCCTTTTTCAAAAAGTTTGGGGTCTAAAAACTGGGTGTGTCTTATACAGTGGTTGTAGTTTTTTTTTTTTTAAGATTTTTATTGGGGAATTGGGGGGTTGAGAACAGTGCTGGGGAATTGGGGGAAGGGAAACAGACAAGTTGCTGTCGTTTTGTTCTTCAGTCTAGTTGTGGAGGACGTTGCTTCACTGGCCCAAGTTGGCACCATCATTGCGCTCTTCCTGGGCGAGGCAGATCAGTCCCCGACTTCTGGACGGCCGCTCACAGTGGCTGCTGGCCACTCACGCTGGCTGCTGGCTACACACGGTAGCCCATGGCAACCCACCGCCACAGGGGCTGCAGCCTACGCCGTCACCAGCGGCAGCCCAGCTCCAGGTTGAGCTGTTCAGCATCTTAGCTGTGGAGGGCAGTGTCACTGGCCCTCATATGTGGGATCCGAACCGGGGCCCTCTGGCATCCCAAGCCAGTTCTTAACCATCAAGCCACTAGGCCGCCCTTATTTTTTTTAGCTGAGCCATCCTGGTACCTATTGGTAGCTTAGTGGCAGCTCAGCTCAGGCCGGTCATCGAACCACTGTTGCTCAGAGCTCATACTCTTGAGCGAGCTCTTAACCAACTGAGCCACTCAGCCAGCTTTGTAGATTTTTTTTTACTTGCATTTCCCACAAGTGATGAGGAGTTGTATGAATTTTATGATGAATAAAACTTGAGTTCAATAACTTTATGTAATACATTTTTTTCAAATTTCGGGCCCCAAAATTAAGGTGCATCTTATACATGGGGAAATACGGTTCTTAGTATACAATATTGTTTACTTACCTGTTCTACATTGGACCCTAAACTTTATTAATGGCAGAATTTATAATAGGTGCCCAATAATGGTGTATAATAAGTGAATAAGTGACTGACTTAGTGAGTGAATGAATGAGTAATGAGAAAAAGCTAGGAGAAAGACAGACACAGAAAAGAGGGTCATGCAGAGAGAGGGAGAAGGAAAAGGGAGAGAAGAAAGAGAGAGAGGGAGAGAGGGAGATAGATAAAGTAGCAGAGGGAGAAAGAGTAGGGGAAGAGCAGGAGAGCCAGCAGAGAAAGGGTCTGGAGGCTCTGAGATAAGTGATGGAAGTTTGGCTGCTTAGCAGTTGTATCAGAGGAACTTAGCACTTCCTTTAAAATACTATATAACTAATCTTCTAGTGGTTAGAAACTGGCCCTTCTACCCTATTAAACCACTTGCCTCTTTTGATTTTCAAACTTCAAAGTTTTGCAGTCTTATGTTTCTGGAGAATTTTGAAGGCTTAATAAGGGCATAATGTAATGACTTAGGTTTTAGTTGTTTCTTTTGGATTATTAAAGGTATCCAATTTACCAGTTCTTACTGAAAATTCTTTTGCATTTTAAAATCAAATTGCCTCCGTTTTTCTTTTTTGAAAGATGAAGACCTGCCTCAAACATTATTGGAAATTTGCATTTGAAACCAGCAGCTATTTTTATTATTCTGAGCCATTTTGGTGTTTCAATCAAAGCCAGTTTGGAGGTTTTGAAGTCCTAATAGGGATAATGAACATAGGAACAATTAAAATCACAATTCTTCACCAATTTCCCACTTGGATGATACAGCTCTGTCTCATTACAAGAGTAACTGTTATGCTCAGGGGCTGTCAAAGTATTTGATTCTGGCCAGAATAAGGAAATTGGCAATATATATTCCTAGACAGAAATCAAAAGTTTGGTCCAAGGCATCAGAGTCACCCAAGATGCTTGTTATAAATGCAGCTTTCAAGCTTCCACCCTAGACCATGAATCAGAGTCCGTTCACATTATTTCTGAGTCCAGAGAAGAGAAAAGCTCACTGACTTAAAGTCTTAGTGCATTCAACCTTGCTTTAGGGTATATGTGCCAACTCCTAGAGATATTCTTAGTACTTCCTAAGCATAGTATTTAGTTGGGTAAAATAAGGCCTATCTCTAGTAGAAGTCAGCATATAACAAGTCATAATAGAAGGCAGCATATAATTAATGGGCTGCAGGGTTTTGTTTTTTTATTGAGGAATTGGGGGAGGGGAACAGTGTTGGGGAATTGGGGAAGGGGAACAGCCAAGTTGTTGTCCTTCAGTTTTAGTTGTGGAGGGTGCAGCTAGCTCAGCTCCAAGTCCAGTTGCCATCCAGCCGCCCATCGGCGGCTCAGGGCTGCTCAGCTCAAGGTGTCGTGTTCAATCTTAGTTGCAGGTGGGCATAGCCCACCATCAATGGGCTGCCAGTTTGAATCAAGGACAATTTCATGGAGAAAAGGCAGGTACAAAGTTTAGATGAGGTTCTAAACTCTTGTATTCTACCATTTGAACAATCTAAGTTAAATCAGGTGGTCTTAACATATGTTCTATTTCTACTTCTTTCAGAGTAGCTAAGATGAAGGAGAAGATTAAAGAGCAACAAGAACAAAGAGAACGCTTAAGTGAAGTCAAAGTCAAAGTGGCCAACACACGGAGACAGGCTCTGCAGGAACAGTTCAATGAATGGATTCTAGACCCCAAAGGAATGATTCCGATGATAGTGGTGAGAAAGGGGGACGCTGTGAAGGGCAGGTGGGATGGGCAACAGGAGGGTGATGGCTAGAACACTGCGTGGCGTGCTAAAAGCCTCCCTCTAAATTTTCACTCCTGCTAAGGTAAGTGAATTCTTGGCAGGTCTAGTCCATGAGAGTAGATTTTTTTTCAATTTTCTCTTGAGGTTTTTTTTTTTTTTTTTTAAACATAGCTAGAGTTCTAAAACATTGACTTTGGCAGAAGTTCCTAAACTCTTCATTACAGACAGATATAGATTTCACTTGTTTGTTTGTTTGTATTTTGTATGCATGTGACTAATTACTTCTGTGGGCTAAGAGACCATGTCTCTTAGCTCCAGAAAGGTATCTGTGCTCTAAAAGTTAAATATTTTCTGTTAGGTATATATAGATGTGAGAATACTTACTAGTTAGATAGAATTATAAGCATATATATATATTTTTAAAGATTTTTTTATTGGGGAATTGGGGGGATGGGAACAGAGCTGGGGAATTGGGGGAAGGGGAACAGACAAGTTGCTGTCCTTTTGTTCTTCAGTCTAGTTGTGGAGGACGTTGCTTCACTGGCCCAAGTTGGCACCATCATTGCGCTCTTCCCGGGCGAGGCAGATCAGTCGCCGGCTTCTGGACGGCCGCTCACTGCGGCTGCTGGCCGCTCACGCTGGCTGCTGGCTACACACGGTAGCCCATGGCAACCCACTGCCACAGGGGCTGCAGCCTACGCCGTCGCCAGTGACTCATGGCAGCCCAGCTCCAGGTTGAGCTGTTGTTCAGCATCTTAGCTGTGGAGGGCAGTGTCACTGGCCCTCATATGTGGGATCCGAACCAGGGCCCTCTGGCATCCCAAGCCAGTTCTTAACCATCGTGCCACTCGGCCGGCCCCATATTTTTTATTCAAAGTGAATTATTAAGAATAGACCAAGGAAGACAAGCCACAAACTGAGAAAAAATATTTGCAAAAGACATATCTGATAAAGAGCTACTATCCAAAATATACAAAGAACTCTCAAAACTCCACAATAAGAAAATGAACAACAGATTAAAAAATGGGCCAAAACAGAAAAAACAACCATAAGATACCACTACTTACCTACCAGAGTGGCCAAAATCCAGAATACTGGCACCAAATGCTGGCCAAGATGTGGAGCAACAGAAACTCTTATTCATTGTTGATGGGAATGCAAAATGGTACAGCCACTTCGGAAGACAGTTTGGCAGTTTCTTATAAAACTAAACATACTTTTACCATATGATCCAGCAATCATGTTTCTTAGTATTTACCCAAAGGAGTTGAAAACTATGTCCATGTAAAAACATGTACATAGATGTTTACAGCAGTTTTATTTATAATTGCCAAAGCTTGGAAGCAACCAAGAAGTCCTTCAATAGGTGAATGGATAGATAAACTGTGGTACATCCAGACAATGGAATATTATTCAGTACTAAAAAGAAATGAGCTATCAAGCCATGAAACGACATGAAGGAACCATAAAGACATATGATTAACTGAAAAGAGCCAATCTGAAAAGGCTGCATACTGGATGATTCCAACTCTATGATATTCTGGAAAAGGTAAAACTGTGGAAGCAGTGAAAAGATCAGTGGTCTCCAGGAGTGAGGGGGAAAGGAAAGGTGAATAGACAGAGCACAGAGGATTTTTAGCGGTAAAACAATTCTGGATGATACCATAATGATGGATACACGTTATACATTTGTCAAAACCCACAGAATGTACAACACCAAGAATGATTCCTAATGTAAACTAGGGGTTTTGATGTTTCAATGAAGGTTCATTGATTGTAATAAATGTGTTGCGGAGTGGTTGTTGATAATGGGAAGAGCTGTGTCGGTGGTGGTAGGGGGCAGGAAGCATATAGGGCCTCACTATACTTTCTGTTCAATTTTGTTATGAGACTAAAAGTACTCTAAAAAATAAAATCTATTTTAAAAAAACGGACCAAGGAGAACTCTGAAATTTTATTTTTTTGTAATTGAAGAATGAGGAATTATAGAAGATTCTTTGGATTGCCAAGTTGGTTGCCAAAGGTGCCTTAGCTCCATCATGATGGAAATGTCCCTGGAGGGGGCAAAACAGGCTCACTCTCAGCATCTTAGCTTTTACACAAAAAGATTGGGAACCATTGAGGACGTATATGTGAAAGCATTTTTTATATACCTTGAAATATACTATAAACTAAATGTTAATTATTACTATTGTTGTCCCTGGGTTAGAAGGATTACCCAGGACCTAAATTGAAAGAGTATGGGTGGCTTTTAGTCTAAAATACTAAATATATAGTAGTTGAGAAGTAATATATGATCTCTTTGATTTGCAGATTCAGAATGTTCTTCTTGAATTTTTTAAAAATCCAGATTACCAGCTTGGTAAGCATGCCTATTACTATAGTATTTACATTTTTCTCTCTTTTTTGGGAAAGGGAGGGATACTGAATTAAGATGAAGAGTCAATATTTTTTAAAAAATATTTTATTGGGGAGTTGGGGAAGGGGAACGGTGTTGGGGAATTGGGAAGGGGAACAGTGTTGGGGAATTGGGGAAGGGGAACAGCCAAGTTGTTGTCCTTCAGTCCTAGTTGTGGAGGGTGCAGCAAGCTCAGCTCCAAGTCCAGTTGCGTCACTCAACTCAAGGTGCTGTGTTCAGTCTTAGTGGTGGGTGGGCACAGGCATCATCCCATGCGGAAGTTGAACCAGCAGCCTCGTTGTTAAGAGCACAGGCTCTATCCACTGAGCCATCCAGGTGGCAGCTCAGCTCAAGGTGCTGAGTTCAGTCTTTAGTTGTGGATGGGCGTAGCCTACCATTCAAACCGACAGCCTTGTTGTTAGGAGCAGGTGCTCTCACCAGCTGAGCCATCCTGCCACCTGTTGACAGCTCAGCAGCAGCTCAGCTTGGGCTCAGTGTCACTGGCCCATGTGAGAATCGAACTGATGGCCCTGTTGCTCAGAGCTTGCACTCTTGGTCAAGCTCTTAGCCAACTGAGCCACTTGGCCGGCCCTAAAGAGTGAATATTGAGATAGATGTTATTCAAAGCTCTTACAGATATACTTAAGCTCTTTTGCTCTTTCCAGATGGAGAATGTAGAGAAGCAATCAGTGATAATCCTTTTACTCTAGTCCCATTTTATTACAAATATTCTGTAACATCCCTTTATTATCCTATCAAATTCCTAGAAAATATTACTTACATACACAGAATTTTAAAAATACAATGTCATATATCTTTGTGATATAAAGGAGAAAGATAAGGAAAGACATAAGAAAATTATATGTAGGGCCAGCCGAGTGGCGCATTGGTTAAGAGTTGGCTTGGGAGCACCAGCTCTGAGCAGTAGGGCCCCAGTTCAGATCCCACATGAGGGCCAGTGACGCTGACCCTTCTACAACTAACATGGTGAACAACAGCTGGACCTAGAGCTGGGCTGTCGTGAGTCGCCGGCGATGGCGTAGGCTGCAGTGGGCTGCTGTAAGCTACTGTGAGTGGTGAGCAGCCAGCGTGAGCTGCTGTGAGTCACCGTGAGTGGCCGTCCAATGGCCAGCGACCGATCTGCCTCAGCCGGGAAGAGCGCAATGATAATACCAGCTTGGGCCAGTGAAGCGACGTCCTCCACAACTAGACTGAAGAACAAAAGGACAGCAACTTGTCTGTTCCCCTTCCCCGATTCCCCAATGCTGTTCCCCTCCCCCAATTCCCAATAACATCTTAAAAAGAAAAAAGAAAAGAAAATTATATGTACTATATTTCAATATATAAATGCTTGGTTATAACTTCACTATAAGACATAATGAGGTAGTCAGAAATCTGTATCTACTTATAATGCATGTTTAGATATAAGAAAAGTAAAATTACATCCAATCGACCATTTCTTTGTATTTGGCATTTTGAAATAAGAGCAAAATGAATGGATTTGTATATCTACGTAGAATCCCCATGAATAGGAGAGGTAGAAAATGCAGGCTGACACAGGTGTGTTGTATTAAAGTTCATATACAATTTATGTTATTACCTCCCATTACCTAATTTCCTGAAATGGTGAACAACTCTTGGTAAAGCTCCAGAATGAAGCAAGATACAATCCTTTCTCAAATTTTCATAGTATTGGGTCGTCACGAAAGTCCTGATGTATTTTTCTATTGTTTTCAATGCAAAAATGCATCATGACTTTCCCGAAGACCCAAAAATTACATTTTTCAAAAATTCCACAGCAAAAATATATTCTGTATTTATATGTAAAATAGAGCTAGGCTCTAGACTCAAAATTATTCTAAGCAGATGTTTTCACCTACTTGAGTGTCTGGGAGGAGGGGGAAAGTCTTTATTGTGCAGGAATTGCAGGAGTTCTACCCCGACTCCTACTCCCCATCACTGTGACAACAAAAACTCACCTACACATTCCCTCCATGTTCACTGGGGAAGAGGGAGACAGTAAGTACCCCACCTATGGATAGCCACAGATTTTGATGCTTTCGTCTTCAGAAATGTTTCCTTATATGAGATTAAACCCAAAAAAATCAGACTTGTTGAATATAGAACTAGAGTTTAGGTCCTGAGTTTTACATAATTTATATTCAGTTTATTTTTTTCAATTGATTTTTGACCACTTTATTACATTGGTAACAATAGATGGTCTGAAGTCTGTTCTCACTTTTAAAAATAAAATGTGCTTTCCATTCTTCCGATCACTGGTCCAGAAACATGATTTGGACCTTGCTGACAACCTTTTTTCTTTCTCTTTTCAGCCTATCCAAAAACTACAGTTGTTCAGTAGTACAACCTCAACTTCCCTTTCAAAAAATATTTGAAATAACTTATTTTATTTACTTAGTTTTTGACGGGGATATAAAAGGAATGAATTAAGAGAGCTCTATTTGAGGTTGTCATAAAATTAGAGACATTTAGGCCACTCTCGTTGGCAGTGTTTATTTCTCCTCTCACCTCCTATGCTATAATAATATTTCTTTTTTGTACCATTTATTCATTCAATATTTATTGAGCCCTCACTTATTTCCAGATACTGTGATGGGGTAGAAGATGCAAAGAGGACTAAGACATGCTTCCTGCCCTTAAGTTGCTCAAAGTCCAGCCAGGGGACAGATACATACACTTAATAACAACTGTTGCTGGTAGAAACCAGTCTGGCTTGCATAATCTTCCAGAGCTTGGGGGAAGATCTGGGATGGGGGTAACAGCATTTATTGCATAAGCTTATACTAAAGTTTATACAGTCCTCTTGTGACAATAATTGATATCTTATTATAAGCAGTTAAAAGAATCAACAGTGACTGAAGAATCTTTTTATGCATCAGCCTATGGTTGGCAGGAGGAGTTACTGTTAGAAGTAAGAGGGGAGGCCAGTGGATTTGTTCCTTGATCTTGAGCTTTCATACAGTTTCTGTGTTTGCATCTTGGTAAGGTCAACAAGGATCACATAATTGTTACATTAAATGGAGGTTTACAGAAACCTTTATTCAAACTAATTGCCACATTCACCATTATTTATCACTCTCTCATTCATGAAACTTTTTTTTTTTTGCTTTTGTGATATCATTCTCTTGATTTTTTTCTTCTATCTTTGATCACCTTTTAGCATTTTTGTTTCTTGGTTCTTCTTTTCTTTGCGCCTTAAATGTTGTTTTCCAGAGTTTCCTTTTTGGCTCTATTGTCCCTTTGCACTATCCACACTTCCTGGGTTTTCTTATTCAAACCCATGCCTTCAGCTGATGACCCTCATCCATTTTCTCATCCCAGGCCTTCCTTCTGAGCGCCAGATCCTATTGGAAAAAATCTACAAGATTAGTGGTTACATGAAGAAAGCAAGCTGTGGATCAATATGATCACATTTATATAGAGAAAAACAAAAGATATTTGTATGTATAGAAAATGAAAGTTGCTGGAAGGGTGACAATAAACTGTTGACCGTGGTTACTTCTGGGGCAGAGGGTGAGAGTGCTGGTGGAGGGTAGGGGAAAAGGTAGACATTCATGTTTCACTACTTATATTTTTGTATTATTTGAATCTTTTACTAAAGGAGCATATTCATATTTTATTTATTTCATTTAAGAAACATTAAAGACAAAATAAAGCATTTAAAAGAAAGCCTGTAGAAGTACTTGTTTTAGGACGTGCTAGCATGAATGCTAGCATAAACTAACACAGAGTTTTTAGTGGTCTTTTATACTATTTGTTTCTGCTTTTTCTCAGCCTGATCATTAAAAAGGTAGGCACATTCTTTTCAGTGTTTGCATTGCTTGGTTAAGTAAAAGCCAGGAAAAATACTAATTTTATAGTAATTGCCTATAATACATACCTAATTCTATATCACTTACTTTATTATAAATATTGATGGACATTAATTAAGAAATACTTTTACGTTCTTCTTTTAAATGATTATAAAATGTGAATGTATTATAACCACACTAACTAGCAAATAACCTTTATTCCATAATTAGAATCATGTTGCGAACAATTGAATATTGCTGATTCAACGGAACCAAGATTGAACAAAATGGAATTTACAGAAGTAAGAAATTACTTTATTCATTATTTGAATCAAATTATTTTGCCAGTTTCAATTGTCTTTAGTGGATGCCACGTATACATTAACTTCAAATTAAATTGAATGAAAGCATAGTAACTTATTTTACTGATTCTAAGATGCCACTTTAAAATATTTTAAAACCTTTGACATTAGGTTACATCATATAATCAAAGGCATCTTATATGTTCTTTCAATCAGTGGTACTCATGATGTGAAAGTGTAAAAAACTTCCACTGACACTTTCGGGTAACATGCAGAAAAAACAGCTTTTTGTATTCAGTGAAATCTAGTCATATAAATAATAATGAGATCTAAAACTTAGCTATGGGCCAGGCACTGCCCTAAGCTATCCATATATTAACTCAGGTAAATCCTCTCAGCAACCCTTATTGCTACTTTTATAGATGAACAAACACCCTCAGATGCAGAAAGGTTAAGGAACTTGCACAAGGTCTCACAGTTAGTGGAAGCTGGGGAAATTTGTATTTAGGCAGTTTGATTTCAAAGTCTACATAATATTGCATCTGAGAAAGGATGATTCTATTGCAACGGAATAAGCAAAACATGCAATTTAATGGGACCAGCGTCCTAAGTCTTCTATAGCCTGCTTTTATATTTTTTCATGTCTTTCTTCTAAGTCCCCTCGTTTTTCTCTGAGTCCCAGAATCAAGGTAGCTTGCTCCTTGCCCCATTGAAGGTGATGACTATGCACTATATACAAATTCAATGTTCTGTATGAAGGATTTCTGAAATCTTTCTTGAAATGATTACCATATACAATAGATAAGAATTTAGTAATCCTATCTTAGTTATGTTCTGTGTTTTCTTAGATTCTGTATATGTTTATTTGGTATCCATTACTCACAGGGCCAAACTAATGGCCAAAATTGTTTTATACTCGTATCTCCCCTGCAATCCATAGCAAATATTCTGAGCCACTTCTGTTTCGAAACCTAACTCACCATGTCAACATTTTTTCAAGGTTTCTCAATTGTTTAAATTTTCAAAGCTGTTTTCTAACTTACCAAAATTTTTGTTAATTTTTATGTAATGAAATCTATTAATTTTTTAGAGGTTTTTTTTCATTGCTTCTATGCTTAGAAGGTTCTCTCCTTCCCAAGCTCAGCTATATTCATTCTTTTTTTTTCTAGCTTTTTATTTTTAAATTAGTTTGAAAATTATTTTGATAAATAATGAAATGAGAATCTAACTTCATTTTTTCCTCTAACATGACTTGCTAAATATACCACTCTATTTATTGAACAAAACTTTCTTTTACAAGTAGCTAATTTTCCAAATGAAATTTCTTCTACATCATTCTTTTTTCCAATGGAAAATAAAAGTAGAATATTTTACAAAATTTGAATGACTGAAATTTTTTAGTACCCATATAAATTCAGTTTTGCCAGAAATAAGAGTATTCCCTATAATATGAATTTCCTCAAGAATGTGTATATTTTAATGCATGCATTATTCTGTTGGTATCCGATAAATCAAACTCAGCTGCAAATAGCACATCACAATTTTTAGTAAAATTCTTTTCTGTCTTTCCCAGATAAATTAGAAGTGATGAGGAAATCCTAGTTCCATGTGGTCTCTTGTTACCTTGCTTGCTGCTGACAAAACTGTCACCCTTTCATTGTCCTTTATATTTCTTGGGAAAGGCAATTTAATTTGTCAGACTGAAATGATTAATAATTATGGTGTGAATTATGACCCCTGTTCAGTTGAAACTAAATTTATTCCAGAGCCCCTATTTGACTATAAATTGCCAACATAACATCATTTGAGTAAATTTTTAAAAATTAAGAGAACGAGTATTAGAGTAATGTTGTAAAAATAAACTCACAGTTCTTCCCAATTTGCAGAGAGAGGTCTTCTCTAGCTGTCATGTTAAAATGTAACTTCTCCCGTTTTTCCATGTAATTGGAGACCTCTTCATATTTCATCATTTCTAAGATGAACAGTTTTCTTTCTTCTGCACTTCTCATATCAAAATGTGTCTTACAGGTGATGGAGATGTCTATATGGTCTTGGTGATGATGATTTCATGGATGTGTACTTATCCCCAAACTCACTGACTTGTATATATTAAATATGTACAGCTTTTCACATGTCAATCATACCTCAATACAGTGTTTTTTTTTAAAAAAAGATACATCTTACAATCAATGGATACATTTAATGAAATAATATTTTACCTCTCTTCTCCAACCCCCAAAATCTTTGTTTAAATCAATAGTCTATTTGATGATTGGCGATTTTTGGATAATTAAAAAAAATGCTATTTGCTCTTTATAAGCAATTCACCCATTTAGTGTACAATTAATTGGATTTTAGTATATTTATGTAGTTGTATAACCATTAAGACAATCAATTTTAGAACAGTTTTATCACCTCCCAAAAAAACCCCATACCTATTAGCATCCATTGCCCATTTCGCTCCTAACCTCCAGCCCTAGGACACCACCAATCTACTTTCTGTCTCTTATAGTTTTGCCTATTCTGGAAATTTCACATAAATGAAATCATATAATATGTGGCCTGTTGTTATTGGCTTCTTTTGCTTAGCATAATGTTGTCAAGTTTCATCCATGTTACAGCATGTATCAATGCTTTATTTCTTTTTATTGCTGTGTAATATTCCTGTTTGTGGACGTTCCATATGTTATTTATCCATCCATAAGTCGATGAATATGGGTTGTTTTTACTTTTTGACTATTGTGAATATGAATATTTGCATATACGATGACCATGTTTTCAATTCTCTTGGGTATATACGGAGCAGTGGCATTGCTGGCTCATATAGCTCTATGCTGATCCTTTTGAAGAACTGCCAGACTCATTTCCACAGTGGCTGCTCCATTTTACATTCCCACAAACAGTGAATGAGGGTTCCAATCACTCCACATTCTTGACAACACTTGTTATTCTCTGTTGTTCCACATTCTTGACAACACTTGTTATTCCCTGTTGTTTTTGTTTGTTTTATTTTTTAATTATAGCCATTTCTGTGGGTCTGAAGTGGTAGCTCATTGTGGTTTTGAAATGCATATCCCGATGACTAAAATGATATTGAACATTTTCATATGTGTTTATTGGCCATTTGTATATTTTCCTTGGAGAAATGTTTACTTAGAGCCTTTGACCATTTTTAAATTGGGTTATTTTTTTTTAAGATTTTTATTGTGGAATTGGGGGATGGGAACAGCGCTGGGGAATTGGGGGAAGGGGAACAGACAAGTTGTTGTCCTTTTGTTCTTCAGTCTAGTTGTGGAGGACGTTGCATCACTGGCCCAAGTTGGCACCATCATTGTGCTCTTCCTGGGCGAGGCAGATCAGTCACTTCTGGACGGCCGCTCACTGCGGCTGCTGGCCGCTCACGCTGGCTGCTGGCTACACACGGTAGCCCATGGCAACCCACTGCAGCAGGGGCTGCAGCCTATGCCTTGCCAGTGACTCACAGCAGCCCAGCTCCAGGTTGAGCTGTTGTTCAGCATCTTAGCTGTAGAGGGCAGTGTCACTGGTCCTCATATGTGGGATCCGAACCGGGGCCCTCTGGCGTCCCAAGCCAGCTCTTAACCAGTGCGCCACTCGGCCTGCCCGTTTGGAGTTTTAATATTAGTTTTCCTGACATTTTCCAACTTCTCTTCCTGAAATGCAAACAGCACATATTCAGGTACTGTCATTACAGAGAAGTGCTGTTGCATCAATTAGAAACCAAGAAAGTATTTCTTGTATAGAAATATTTATTGAAAATATTTAATTATCTGATCAACAAATCATTGAGCCATCTTATATGACATAGAAGTAGTGTTTGGAACACTTGCTTTAAAAGAGATTTGTTCTAAGGCTATTTTGTCAGAACTGTTTAATGAATCTGGAAGAAAAAATAAACGTCAGGCTAAGTCAACATGTTACACACAGGTGCCACCCAGTGGAGAAACTATGCCTTGCAATTACCCCGCTGATTGTAATGAGTGAGCAGTGTGTGATTAGCCCTCAGGATGGAGCAAGTTTGGAGGAAATGGAATTAGTGAGTAATAACTAATGCAGAGAGAAAGACAAATGAAGAGAGTGGTCACAGAGCTTCCGTATGCATATATCTTTGTTAGCTGATCTGTTTCCTGGTGGATAAATGAACAGGTGGTGATGTTTTTGTTTACTATAACTTCTCTTTCACTGTTCATCTGTTTTATTCTAGTAAATGCAGACCCAAAGTAACGATTTTAGAATATTTACTTCTAGTCTCTTGGTTATTAAGTATATACTGAATGTTTACTCTCTGTGCTAGGAGAAATGTCAAAATTAGAAGTTGTATTTCTTATCCTTAAGGACCAAATAATGCATTGTTGTATGGGAGTGTGTCTGTGGGTATATGCAGGCATGTGTGTGTATGTGTGCGTGTGTGTGTACATGCATGCATACATACACACACTGGATGGAACCAAAGTAGGATCCAGGGAATGGAAGGATAAAAATATAAGCAAATAAGGACACATCCCAAAAAGACAATTATAAAGTGGTGAACAGGTGCAAAACATTATGAATTATTATATTCATCGCTGCCAAGGGATGCAGAGTAAAAGAAAAATGAGACTTCAGTGGGGCAGGCTTCATGTAGGAAGCTCACCTGGTGGTCATGAGTTTTGAATTTCTGTCACCTGCAATGCCTTGTATCTCCTTACTTTGAAAGGAACCTTAAGAACAATGCTTTAAACATTTATATATTGACAGAAATAATTTAAAATATATAATGTATTGGTTCCTTTGAGATTTTTTTGGCTTTGTTTCATTTTATAAGTTGAATATTTAGGCAAGTAAGAAATGTGTTTTGAGAGATTGTTAAGATTGTTTTAAATTCTCAAAACACTCTGTTCCCAAAAAACAACTCACTCTAGGAGAAAAAACTTACTATTTGTATCATTTTAACACTGGTATTGAGTTGTTCAAGTAGATATTGTGTTCCGTGTACAAATTTG